GGCCTAAAGGGGCTCCAGGAGAGCTGGAGAGGGACTGGGGACAAGGCATGGAGGGACAGGACACAGGGAATGGCTCCCACTGCCAGGGGGCAGGGCTGGATGGGATATTGGGAATTAGGAATTGTTCCCTGGCAGGGTGGGCAGGCCCTGGCACAGGGTGCCCAGAGCAGCTGTGGCTGCCCCTGGATCCTGGCAGTGCCCAAGGCCAGGCTGGACACTGGGGCTGGGAGCAGCCTGGGACAGTGGGAGGTGTCCCTGCCCAGGGCAGGGGTGGGATGGGATGAGCTCTAAAGCCCCTCCCAACCCAAACCATTCCATGCCCCCATGACATCCCACCTCTGCCCCATGGGGAGATAGATCCCGTCTTTTGGAGCCCAAATATTCCCAGTGCCCCCTGCAGACCCTTCCACTGTCCCCAGTGTGACAAACCAGGGCAGCTCCCAATGCACAGCAGAGCTCTGGAATACTTGCAGGGAATGCTTTCCATGGATGATGAATGTCCCTGAGGTTTGCCTGCTCTGAAGGGCACCTATGGAGCTGATAAAGGATTTAATAGAGGAATTTTATCTCTCCCGATAAAGTTCCCAGCTGGGCTCAACCTTCTGGCAATTCCTTGTGTCCTTCCCATGCTGTGACTTTTCCAAAGACCTTTTGGTGGTGGTGGTGACACTTTTGGCTCTTTCATTCCAAACCCTTGTGCCCTGTCCCACTGCCCTGGAGGGTGGCATGGCCCACGCGGCCCCATTGCTGCCCCACATCTCCAGAGACCCCAGTCCCAAATCCACCCTCTCCAGGTGTCCCAGCTGTGCCCCCCAGGGGCTGGGAGTGTGTGGTTCCATCTGCCAGGTTCATCCCAGTCTCTGGAATATCAGCTTTGTCCCCACCCCATCAGTTTTGTCTCTGTCTGGTCACTCCTGAAATAAACCCCAACCTTTTTTTCTCCTGAAAATCCCCTCTGTGCCTTTTCCCTCCTGCCCAGAGGATTCTCCGTGGGGCTCCTCTCCTGTTCCTGCTCCCACCATCTGCTCCATGCCCTTGCCAGGGCAGCTTCCTGCTGGAAAGCTGAAGGATCTTGGCTCTGGATCCTTCCCTGGCACACTCAGGGCTCCTCATTCAGCACCCCAGCTCAGACATTCCCTGTTCCTACATTCCTGCAGTGTTTGTTTTGCAAAATGTTGGGAGATTTCCTCTTTTATATTAAAAAAAAAAAAAGAAAATAATAAAAAAGCCCCAATAAAATGATTTTAATTTCCCAGGAGACTGAAATTCCATCTTTTCTTCATCTTTGAGTCCCGCGGTTTCAGGGATAATCCAGAGCTTGATGGGATTTTTTTGGGAGCTGCTCCAGACTCCTGGTCCCAGTTTTCCTGCCAAACAGAGAGTTCTTTATCACTTTTGCCTGGATTTTGATTTCTCTGGCTCATGGGATGAGCTTCCTCCTTGGGAGCTTCCCCCTGAGCTGATTTCTGGTGCTGAAAACTTCCTGGCAAGTTTTCCATGGCTGCTCCAGGAATGCTTCCTCATCTTCTGAGCAAGCGTTATTTAATTACTCTGCAGTGGGGCTGTTCCTGCATTTTAATGGCAGCTGGATCCCTCTGCACCTCCTCATCCTGATTTTCCTGGCTTTTTCCTGTGGGAGATGTGGAATAGCTGCAGAATTACACAGCACTAAGCAGAAAAACAATCAGGTCTAACCAGGATCCGGGGTCTCTGTCCCTCCTCAGTGCCTCTTTCCTCTGCAGGGATTTTTCCAGCAAGGAAACTCCTGAGGAGCAGCCATGGAAAGCCTTGGGATGGGGCTCCAAGGCTGGTGCCCCACTGAGGCCTTTTCCACAGGGAAATGGGGACAGCAAGGAGCAGGAATAAGGGAAGAGCAGGAAACCCTCTGGAGAAGCAGAGGGAAGCTTTGGCCTTGGCCTGGTGAGGCAAATCCCAGGAAAGCAGGGCTGTTGAGCACTAATAAAATGCCTTGGAAAAGCTCCCAAACCAGTTTCATTTCCCTGCAGATTTCAGCAAGGAGATGATGGGGGTTCATTATAACCCTTAATAAGTTTTCCTTATGTAGGCAAAGTCCCAGTGGATTTTCCGGGTGTTAGTAAAGCAGGATGAAGTGATCCAGTCCCTTCCATGCAGACAACAAATCCCTCTGTCCCCTCTCCTAATGGGCTCCATCCATCATGCCCAGAGCTGCCCACAGCCACAGGGGCCCTGCTCCTGCTGGGCTTCCCCTCCTGCCTGCAGGTGCTGCTGAGAACTTGGGAATGTTTTGGAAATTTCTGTTCCCTGTCCATTCCCATGGCCCACTTTGGGCTCAGTGGGTTCTCCTTCCCCACCTCGGAGCCTTTTCCTGCCCTTCTGAATCACATCCAGGCTTTTCCCTTTAACACAAAGTTCTGCCCTGATTTAGAGTTCCCAGAAAATCCATTGACCCTGATCTTCATCTCCCAGTAATTGGAAAAGAGACATAAATCAAACTAATTGCAGAAGAGTTAAAAATGGCTTTGTTTGCCACAGCTCAGGCTGCAGACTGCTGCTGGGAGAACATTGGGATCAATGAAATCCCTGGATGTGTTAGAGCAGAGCAGGGACCTTTTCCTCCTCCTGGCTGCTCCAGGAACGAGTCTGATCCCGTTCTCTTTGGACATGAGAATAAACAGTTCCAAGGTGCTGGAACATTCTAGGGATTCGCTCCTAAACCATTCCTGCCCTGGCTGTGGCTCAGGTGGCACCATGGAGAGGGATCCTGGAATGCTTTGTGTGGAAAGGGATCCTAAAGTTCATCCCATCCCACCCCTGCCATGGCAGGGACACCTCCACCATCCCAGGCTGCTCCAACCTGGGCTCCAGTGTCCAGCCTGGCCTTGGGCACTGCCAGGATCCAGGGGCAGCCACAGCTGCTTTGGGCACCCTGTGCCAGGGCTGCCCACCCTCCAAAAAAAAAAAAATTTCCTTTTTCCTCCATGAAAATTCCACCAAATCCAAATACTTCACAGCCAAGTGAGGCCACCACTTCTCTCCCTATGGAATATCCCAATTCCTCTGTGGGATCCTGTGCAAGGAGCTTTGAGCTGCTGGGAATCCACGGTTTGGAATCCACGGGTGAATCCAGAGGGAAGCAGCTGAGGCCATGCTTGGAAAGCAAAACCCCTCCAGCTTTCCTGCAGGGATTTCGTTGGAAGGGGTTTTTCTTTCCCCACAAATCCCAAGGGAAATAAAATCCTTCTTGTTTCCTTTGCTGGACAATTCCTGCTCATTATTATTTGGGCCATGTTTAAATTATTCTGTCTGCAGCAGCCGATGGCATTTGCTGCGTGCCATGCAATGTTCCAGGTAATTAATTGGTGTTTAATTAATTAAGGAATAATGACATTCAATTAAGGGAACACTGTCACTGGGTAATTAATGGCTTCCTGCTGCTCCAGGAAAGCCGAGGTGTTTGTGGGAAATCAATCCAGGGGAAGTGAGGGGTTCATTCCCCTGGGAAGGAGCTGTGTCCTGGGGATCTCCCATTCCTGCCCCTCCCAGGAACAAATTCATGGAAGGAAGCTCTGCATGGACCTGTCAGGAGCTGTTCCCAAACCTTCAGCAGTGGGAAGCACAAGGGGAAATCTCTGGGAAGGAGGAGAAGACGCCTGGTGTTCCCAGCATCACACAGAGCAGGAATTCCAGACTGCCAAGCCCCTGCCCAGGGCTGTGCTCGGGGGCAGCCAGGCTCTGCCTAAACTCGGGATTCCCCTCCCTGATGTCAGGATCAAAGCCTGGGACCAAATGGGGCTCTGTGTCCTCTTGGCTTTGGAAGGGAGCACTGGAAAAAGAGGAATTTCCTGGGATGTGAAGATAAATGAGAATAAATTTCCCAAATCAGAGGGAACCGAGCCCCATTCTGAGCGAAGCAGACGAATGTTGAAGGATGAACAGGAAGGAGTCAATTCCCCGCTGCTCCTGCCCGTGGATGAGCCCTGGGTGTTGTGTGCCCATCCCAGGCACCTCCGGCAGCACCTGCGGGGGTCCAGCGGCACCGGGCCTGAGGAGGGGCAGCCTGAGGGATCCTGCTGACCCTGCAGAGCAGAGCATCATCCAAGGAAGATTCCAAACTATTCCACAGCTCCTCTCCAAGTGCCATTTGTGTTGGCTGCTGCCCAGTTAAGGATTTATAAATTTAATTTTAATTTTCGCTGCATTTTGGAGAGCGTGCAGCTCTCAGGTGCTAAAATGCTTTAGAGTTCGGCGTTTGTCACCTTCAGGCACCACGGGCACCACCCAGGAAGGAATCAGAAGGAATTCCAAGGCCTTCTGCCAGGAGCGTCCTCCTCCTCCATCCCAAAACCCAGGCTGTCCCTGCAGAGCTGCCCCTTGCAGCTGGAGGCTGAAGCAGGCAGGGAGAGCCTGGAGTGTGTCCCTGGATTGGAGAAGCTGTAATTCCCAAATCCTGAGGAGAACAGGGCTGCCTGCAAGTGCCAGACCCAGCTGGGAATGTTTGCCAGCTCCTTTTGGCACTGGCAGTGCCTCTGCAGCTCGTTCTGCTGAGGAGCCTCCAGAGAGCCATGGACAGATTCCAGCTCCAACTGCAGCTCTGGCTCAGCCCCTTCCCTGCTCCCTGAGCTCCTGTCTGCCTGTCTCCTGGGAACTGGGGATCCTGTGCAGGGAATGGTGCAGGATTAGAGCCTTTTCCTGGCTGCCAGCTCTGCCCAGGGTCATCTCACACTGCTGTGCTCTCCATGTCCCTGTGAACACTTCCCTAAAAGCTTCCCTAAACACTTCCCCAAACATTTCCCCAAACACTTCCTTAAACACTTCCTCAAACACTTCCCCAAACACTTTACTGACCTGGCTCCATATGAAAGGAATAAAAATGTAGATCTGGTCTCCCCCTGCATAGCCCCAAACCCAAGCAATTCAGGGAATTCCATCTCCCAGCCACTTGTAGGGTTCTGAAGAGCCAAATTCCCACCTCTGCCCCGAAGCCATGAGGAGACTGGAGCTCATTTCGGACACCGACTCGATTTTATTGTTTGAAATGCCAGGGAAACTCAGTCTCAGAAACGTGGGAATTTCTGCTGGTGCTGAACACCACCCTGGACATCCTTCCTTGTCCTACCCCCTCCAGCTGTGCCTGTGCCCCTGAGACCGTGGAGCATCCCCTCCATGGTCGTGGTGGGGACAGGCTTGTGACCCTTTCAACATCTGGATGGGCTTCACGGGCCGCCTCTGCTCCTCGTTTTGGGAGCGTGGAGGAGCCGTGCCGCTGCTGGAACAGCCCCCACCAGCCTGGAGAGATCACTCCCTGCAGCGGGAGCCGGGCGCTGCTCTCAGAGCTGGTACTTCCTCAGCAGCTCGCTCTGCCACTGCCGCTTTTTGTTGGGAAAGGCGGCCGGGATCCTGATCCTGCGGAACTCCTCGATGCACTTGCCCAGCTCGGACTGCAGGGCCCGGCGCTCCTCGCTGCTGGCCGTGCCGGTGGCGGTGGCCGTGCCGGTGGCCGTGCCGGTGGCCGTGCTGGTGGCCGTGCTGGTGGCGGTGCTGGTGGCCGTGCTGGTGGCCGTGCCGGTGGCGGTGCCGGTGGTGGCCGTGGTGGCCTCCAGGCCGTTCTCCCGGACCGCTGCCCGGTCCCTGCCCCGCCACTGCCCCGCCTGCTTCCCCTCCTCCAGCCTCTTCAGGGAGCGGCTCAAGTCCAGGGTGCTGGGCCGGGCTGGGCACTCCTCGGGAGCTTCTGGCCACGGCTGGGACTCGCTGGGGCTGGGAACCTTCCCCTCCGGCTGAGCGACCCTGCCGGGGACGGGCTCCGAGCGGGGGGCCGGGACGGGCTCCTGGGATGGGACCGGGATGGGCTCCGAGGATGGGGCCGGGATGGGCTCCGAGGATGGGGCCGGGATGGGCTCCCCGGGGCCGGCAGGTCCCGCCGCACCACCCGGGTCAGCCGGGTCCTGTCTCCTCCCGGGGATCTCCCTCGGCTCCGCAGCGTCCGCGAGGGCTGGGAGGGAAAGCAGAGAGGAGTGTGAGGAGAGGGACATGAGGGAAGTGAGAGACCTGCTGGGAATTCTTTTTAAAATACACCTGGTGGCAGAGATAGAAAACAAGGAATGAACTATTCCTGTTTAAAACCCCCACCCTACACTTCGTCCCCTGCACAGAAGCAGAAAATGTCAAGAGGAATCTTCTTTTTCCTTGTAAGGACAGAGTTGGAATTTCCCCCCCCTTTTTCTTCCTCTTATTTTTTTCCCCAGTTTGACATTTGCTGAGCAGCTCCAGCTCTGCAGTTGCTGGAGGTGGAAGCAGGAATGTCATCCACCAGCGAGCAGAACCCTCGAAGGATGGATTTTCTTTGGCAAATCTCTCCGGGAAGTTACAGGAATGAATCTTTGCCCCAAATTCTTTGAGTGATGGGATGAAGCCTCAAAGCTGCTTTAATCATCTTATCTGTGAACCTGGGAGCTGCTTTTGGGAAATGTGGAGCTGAGGCTGGGAAATTTAAGCACCCAAATTCCCAGGAGGAGCCTCCGGCTGAGCTGGAGAATGAATTCAAATCCTTCAGTTCCTCTCCAGCATCTCAGCTCCCAGAGCATCCCATGACTGTGGCTGCTTCAGGATAACATTTATTTTTCAAAGTTTTCCATTTTACATCCCATTATTCCTGTCTGAGGCACTGTTCAGGTCACCAGACTGAGAGCAAATCCAGGTTTCCAGGGAATGGCTCCTGAATATTCCTCCTATCCCACAAGCCTGATGTTCTTTGGGTGGTCTGGCTGGGCTGGTGCCAGGCTACAAACTCACATCCCTACAAATTCCCTGCTCCTAATCTCAGAATCCTGGAATGGTTTGGGTGGGAAGGGAAGAAAAGCTCATCCCATCCCACCCCTGCCCTGGGCAGGGACACCTTCCCCTGTCCCAGCCTGCTCCCAGCCCCAGTGTCCAGCCTGGCCTTGGGCACTGCCAGGATCCAGGGGCAGCCACAGCTGCTCTGGGCACCTGTGCCAGGGCCTGCCCACCCTGCCAGGGAACAATTCCTAATTCCCAATATCCCATCCAGCCCTGTCCTCTGGCAGTGGGAGCCATTCCCTGTGTCCTGTCCCTCCATGCCTTGTCCCCAGTCCCTCTCCAGCTCTCCTGGAGCCCCTTCAGGCCCTGCAAGGGGCTCTGAGCTCTCTCTGAAGACTTCTCCTCTCCAGGTGAGCACCTCCAGCTCTCCCAGCCCGGCTCCAGAGGGGCTCCAGCCCTGGAGCAGCTCTGTGATCTCCTCTTTCCCATAGCTTTGGACAAGCATCCCGTTTTACTCCTCAGGTTTATCCTTCCTCACATTTGAGTCCACCTGGCACTAAGGGGGTGTGACCCCTGGATGATCCAAGGACACCCCACAGCCCTGAGTGTCCCTCCAGCTGCTGTGCTGGGAAAAGGGACCGGCCTGGCTCATTGCTCTGATCTTTTCTCCCACAGATTTTCCTTCCCCGGTGCCACTTGTGCTTTAGAGCTCCAATTAAATTCAGCAGCGACACTTCCGAGCAGCCCCGCGGAGCCGCTGGAATCCTGCTGGGGGCAATTACCGGCTCCTGGCGGGGGTTTTGCGGGAAGCACACAGTGTCCCCACCCCGGGAAGCACACAGTGTCCCCACCCCGTGCTCCGGGACAGCGCTGGGTTATTCCAGGGGCTGTGGCAGGGACAGGAGCTCGGGCCCGGGCTCACAGCTGCATCTGCTGCTCTCCCACGCTGCCTCCATCCCCAGGGATGTTGGAAGGTCCCAGCATGGACAGGGGGGAATAAGAAGTTCCTGGGTGATCCCAAATGAGGGATCTTAAAATTCCTTCCAGCCTCTTAAACTTGGGTGATATGGGCAAAAAAAGGATGGATAAAAGTTTCCAAATGAGCTGGAAGAGCACGCTGGGTTTGGGAAGTGTGGGAAGGGGGTACCAGGGTGCATCCAGAGCATCCCCAGGGCGTATCCTCAACATCCCAGTGCCCAATCCAAACCAGCTGTTCCCATGCCAGCTACTGGATCCCATCATCTCAGGACTTGACTCTGCATGAATTGTTCTGTTTTGTGGGATTAATCCAGCTGGGAACAGCACTGGGAGCTTCCCGTGCAGCTGGGCCAATGTGCTCTGGTACCCAGGCCCTGGCACAGGGCCCTGGCAGTGCCAGTGGTGCCAGCTGGATCCCCAGGGAATCCTGATCCCTTGGCAGGGACACCAAGCTCAGGTGCAGAGAGTTGTTGGAGCTCCAGGCTCATGACACAGATGGCAGAAAACCCAGCTCGACTCTCCCTGGATTCTCCTTTTGTAATCCATTCCTGCTGTTGGAAAAGCTCAGCAAAGAAGCTGGGAAAAAATTTCCAAACAGCAAAAGGCATCTCCTGAAAGACCTTGGAGCCCTGGGAAGGAAGGGCCTTCCTGGGAAGGAAAATCTGGAATAATCCACATTTTCCTCTGTCATGCAGGAGCTGCCAGGAGGAGGGAAGGTGGGGTCAGGGATTTCAGGGATTGCTCTGAGGGTTGGGTTCCTTGGAGGGAGGTGCAGCTCCCTGGGCTGGAGGAGAGCTGGACACTGGTACCTGCTGGCATTGGTTCCGTGTGTTCCAGGGATTGTCCACCCCCTGGAGTGTCCCGTGGTGGGCAGGAGCTCTGCTCCCTTCTTCCTCCCAGGTTGTCTGTGAGAAAAAGTTTGGGAATTGCATAAATTATGGAGATGTGCTCACAAACATCACCCTGTGAGTATGAAGCTCACAATTCCATCTTTTATAGAAATCTTGCCCACCCTCACAGCCAGGAATTCCTTCCCAATATCCCACCTAACTCTGCTCTTCCAGGGGTGGATGAAGACTTTCACCAAGGGCATCCTGATGTGGGATAAAGGCAATCCTGCTCCACCTGGCCATGAGAAGCAGGAGATGGTTCTGGGTGTTCCAGCTCCCAAAACCCCCAGAGCTGAGCAGGATTCTGTGTTTAGTGGTTTCTAGAATCCAGGAGAGCAGGAATTTGCCCAGAGACAGCCTGGCCAGGCTGGACCTCCAGGATCCATTTGATTCAGAAGAAGGTGCAGCCCCCAGGAGATGGCAGCAGGATCCCAGCACGCCCTGTGCCCATGGCCTCCCTCATTAACTGTGGTTCCTGAGACAATTCCTGGCTCCTCCCAGGCTCTAACCAGGGTGTCCTGCTTCCCGGGACCACCAGCTTCATCCAGGGGCTCTGTGGTCACCGCCAGTGCAGCTGGAAAAGTTCCATTCCTAATTCCAATTAATACCCCAGAGCAGCTGGTTTTGCACCCAAGTCCCGAAGTCCTGGAGGAGGGAATCTGAGCTGAGCTCCATTCCAGTGGGGCATTCCAAAACCTTTTTGGGCAGAACAACGCCTAGACAGGACACGGGGATGTGGCTTGGGATGGAATTCCTGGCACACAAGTGGAAGGGGAAAGATTTTCTGTGGAATAAGATCAATGCTGAATTTCATTCATTTCATTTGCACAGCTGAGCTTCTCCAGGTGTTCCCAAACATTCCAGCAGAGCTCCAGGGCCCTGGATTCCCACTTCCACGTGCTGACCTGCAGCCTGTGCTTATTAAAGATTTAAAGGCCAAGCTGTCAGCGCTGCTCTGGGGATGGACTTTTCCTCTTATAGCTCTAATTCTAATAGGATTGGGAAGAGGAGGCGGAGGCTGGAGCAGTGCCAGGAGCCGAGGGAGGGTTTGCTCCTTCCAGAGGCTTTGCACACCTTGGCAGAGCTTTCTGGAAGTTTGTTCCTCTTCCAGCACCTCCCGTTGGCTCTCTGGGATTTTGGGTTAATCCCTGGGACAGTGGGAGCAGAGGAGCTGCTCTGTCCTGGTTTTCCCTCATCCCAGGGATAACAAAACCCCCTCCATGTGCTGGCTGTCCTTGCTCTGCTCTGCTGGAAAAGCTGCATTAATCCCATTTTATTTCAGATTTCAGATGGGCACTTGCTGCTTCCCAGGATTTGGGAAGATTTCAAAACCACTGGAAAGCATTGGCTCAACTCCACTTCCGGCCTCAAATCCATGTTGTCCAACAAACACCCCGGCTCTGGGAACATTCCATGGATGTGGTGAAGGGGTGGAAGCCACCGAGGAGCCACCAAGAGCCGGGACCCTCGGGAATCACAGCCATTGCTGAAACCCAAATGCTTGGGATTCTTCCTCCCCCCTCCCAGGTTTCCCCCAGGACATCCTTCTCCATGGATTTACCTGGAAGGCTGCAGTGCCTGGAGAGCTGCCTGGAGAGCTGGCCTCGCACAACAGGACCTGGAAACAAAGGAGAAGGTTTGGATCTGGATCCGTGCTCCGAGATCATGGAATTCTGATGATCTCCCTCCACACCTACACACCCACGTGCGGGTCTGGATCCTGCTCCAAAATAATGGAATTCTGCTCTTCCACATCCACACCCCCACTAGAGAGGGATGCAAGGAAAACGAGCGCTGTGGTTGTGTCCCATGAAAAATCATTCCCAGGGATTTTCCCCTTGGAAATGCCATGAGCCCAGCCAGGTCTTATTTTCCAAAATATTTGGGCTCCTCCCAACATTTCCTGCCTTTTGGAAGTTGTGAATCCATGGGAAAGTTGTCCAGCTCAACCCCATCCCAATTTCAGCAAGAGTTGCCCCTGCCTCAGCAAAAACTGAGGAATGGTTGGAAAGGGAATGGTTGGAAAGGGAATTTTGATCCCAAGTGTCCTGTAGGAACAGGGCCAAAGCAGTGTCCTGGTGCATCCCCTTCCCGAGGATTTGGGATCAGATCAAGCCTGGGCATCACAGCAGCCCAAGGTTTTTCCACTGGAGAAGAGAAGGAGCCACCCTGGTGCTCCTTGGAAGGCTGAGGGATATTCCCTGCTCTCCATCCCGGAAATCCTCAGCTGTGAAATGGGATCAACAACCTGTTTTCCACTCTCAGGGAAGGAGGGGAAGTCTGGAGTCATTCCCGAATGCTTTATTAATTCCATGGCTTTTGCTGGAAGCAAAGGGGGCTGGAATGAGGCAATTCTGCCTGGCTGGAGCCGGGTGCTATTGGAGTTTTTCCTGGAAACCCATTAACACAATGTGGGGAGGGAGGTGAAAATTACCCTTAATACTGAAATATTGTTGGAAAGGGGGAAATTGGGATATTTCATGTAGGAGATGAAGGAAAAAACCACATCTTTTTATCAAAAAAAGGGATTTCTGAACTATTTCCATCCCTTCCTGAGAAATTTGCACTTGGTTCTAATTAACCCTAAAGCTTCATTAATGATCAGTTTGGCACCAGTCATAATTAATCACAAATGTGCATTTTTCCATGGAATAAAAGGTTTACCTGAGCACATTTGCAAATTCCATTTAGGAATTGTGGCTGTGTGTTAATTAAACTGAAATCATAATTAAAAGCAGAATTAAAACCCTTCTAATAAACATGGGGAAAAAATGCTTAGGATTTATGCTCAGTCCACAAATTTGTGGCTAATGGAGAGCAGTTATTCCATTTTCCTGAGGGCTCTTGGATAAAGACCATCCAAGAGACTTTTAAGGAAACTCTGGAGCCAAGGGGGGATTGTTGAACTTCCAGCATGGATTAAAAGCTTATTAAGGGAGAGAAAAGGAGAGATGGAATCAAGAGTTTGCTCCCAACATATAAATAATGGAATAATGGGATGTTCCCAAGAGGCCAGCTCGGGATGGAGGGCTTTCATTACCTGGGAAAGGGGAAACAGCCAAGAGGAAAATGGAGGAAATGGAATAATGGGGTGGTGGAAGTTGGTGGGAAAGGACCTTGGCATTAGCTCTGATGGAGAATCTTCCAGTGGGATGGATAGAATGACAAACAGGACACAGGAATGTGCCTTGGGAATCTGCCCTGGATGTCTCATAAACCTTGGTGGGGTTTAACTTCAGAGACTCAGGAGAGAGCTGGGAATGTTCACCTGGGGAAGGGAAGGACCCAGGGAGATCAGGGGCAAGGCCAGGAGGGGTTTTATCCTTGTTTTTTTTTGTGGAAGAATTAATCAGGAAATTGCAGCACTCTGGGCTTTAAGGTTGGAGTTAAATCCCTTTAAATCAGTGGCTCCAAGCTCCTCCTACTATTTAAATAATGGCTTGGGATTTTTGTTTGATTTGATTCTGGTCTTCAGAATAAAAAAAAGAGAAAAAAGAAACCCCACAAACAAAATAAACCAAGCGAAAGAAACTTCCACAGATCAGCACGGAAGAGCTGCTCTGAGCACACCCGGGATGCTCCAGCTGTTCCTAGCCCCCTCCAGCGCTTTCATCCAAGACCCAGTTAATTATCTGGAGTACCCGGAGCTGCTGAGCTCATCTGGGACGTCCACGAGCACGGGAGGTCGCAGTGACCACTCCGAGCCCCAGACACTGGATACTGGGAAGGAATTCCTGGCTGGGAGGGTGGGGAGGGGCTGGGCTGGAATTCCCGGAGCAGCTGTGGCTGCCCCTGGGTCCCTGGCAGTGCCCAAGGCTCGAGGGGGTTTGGAGCAGCCTGGGACAGTGGGAGGTGTCCCTGCCATGGCAGGGGTGGGATGGGATGGGCTTCGAGGTCTCTCCCAGTCCAAAGCATTCCATAGTTCCAGGCCTGCTGCTGCTGCAGGATCCAGTGGGAACACGAGCAGGGCAGGTGGGACCAGGAAGGGGCAGATTCCGGGGTGGGAAGGAGGGGATGGAGGAAGGTTCCTCTCCCAGGAGGAACCAGCCCTCCCAGCAAACCTGGGAACAGAGCTGGGAGCAAACCTGGGTACAAACCTGGGAGCAGACCTAGGAACAAACCCGGGAACAGAGCTGGGGACAGAGCTGGGGATAGAGCTAGGAACAAACCTGGGGACAGAGCTGGGGGCACGCGGAGGTTCCTGGCCCCTCCAAGGCTCGGTGACAGCAGCCAGGACAGTTTGTCCTTCATTTCCACGACACTGCTGGATGACCTCAGCTCCGGAGGGAGAGGAGCCGCTCACGGTGGAGATCCCTGGTGCCAAAACCTCATTCCTTATCCACATACAAATTAATCCCATTGGAAGGAAGCAGCTGCGCTTTCCAGGGGCTGCGCTTCGCTTGGGGGAAGGAGGGGGGAATTAAATCCGCTCCGAAATGTCAGGAATTGGGAGGAGTGTTTAACATCAGCACCTTATCGCAGCCCCTCAGTGCCTGCTCAGCTTTCCAGCCGGCTGGAAGTGCTTTCCTGGCCCCTTTTGCTGCCTTCAGGAAGACCGGGAATCCTTCCAAAGCAGGACCTGGGGACTGCAGTTCCCCTGGAGCCAAATTCCAGTTAAAGGCTGCGGCGCGGAGTTAATGGTGGTTTTTGTGTTCCCCTGGGGGTTGTGTTAAATCCCCTCCAGGCACGCAAAGGACAATGATAATTTGGGAATGAAATGGGAAACGTTGGCTGCGCCCTCGCTTCCCTCTGGTTTGGAGCTGCTCCATGGAAGCGGCCGAAGGCGGTGACAGTGACAGGGATGAGGAGCTGGGAAAGCAGCTGGGGATTTAAAAGGTGCAAGAGCTACAGGAAAAATCGGGAATCCCAAACGTCAGGGAGGCTCTGCCTGCTCCAGAATCCCTGCTGGGATCTCTCGGAGTGAGGGAAGCCCGTGGCTGCTCCTGCCTGTGCTGGGGCTGGGGGAGCAGCCGGGTTCCCCTCCCCGGACAAGGGGATTTTTTGGGTGCCAGTTTTGCTGCTGCATCCCCCAGACGCCAAGGGGATCCCGTGGGAGCCAAGACATCCCGGGATCCAGAGAAAAAGCCCTTTCCTGGGGAGCACTTGGGGCCCGTGGCGGCGGAGGGGAGAAGGGGAAGTTTTGGTGGCGGGAGGTTGCGCAACAATTTCCTGTTTACTTCTCTCTTTTCTCAGTTAAATGCAGACTCTGCTCCTGAAATGTCCCTTGTGCCCTGTCCCCCTGTCATCCCTTTCCTTCACCCTCAGACCCTGCAGCCATCCCGGCTCAGGATCCCTGCAGCTGGAAAAGGCCGCTGCCCTGGCTCCTCAATGGCATTTAATCCTTGGAGTTGATTAAAGCGCTCCATTAACAGCAAATTAGGGACTAATGGGAATAATGGCTGCGCTCAGGGAGTAATTCCAGGGAGAAGGGACGGCACCGAACGAGCTCTAATCCCTCGTTTTGCCGGAGAGGGGAAGGATTTGGGTTTATCCTGGGGTTTTTTTTAGCTTAAGTCTCAGCTCTAAGGAACTGATCCCAGGTGGGGCCAAGCAGTGAAACTCGGCGGGGTTTTTATTCTGCCTGGTTAAAAACAGCTGCAGTGAGTGGGAAAGTGTTGGGTGGGGCTTGGAAAAACCTGGGATAGCGGAGGGGTCCCTGCCCATGGAACTGGAACAGCTCTAAGGTCCTCTCCAGTCCAAACCATTCCATCATTCCAGGACAACATTCCATGGTTCTCTCAGTGCTTGGGGCTCCAGATGTGGGCAGGCTGCGTTTCAGCAGAGCAAGGATTTCTCCACATCCCAGAGGGGAGGGGACTCCTGGAATATCCTTTCCATGGCTCCCAGCAGAGCTCTGCTCTCCAGAGCAGCCCAATAAGGACCTCAAAGGACTCATTTCCTCACGCTGTGCCTGGGGAAACTGAGGCAGGGCAGGCTGGGCGAGGCACAAGCCCCACTTTGAGGTTGTTTTCTTGTCCCTTTGGGTTCTCCAGTCCCCCAAAGCTTCCTGTGCACTCCTCATCTGACCCCAATAAACACTCCCTGTCTGGCCAATCCCACAGCACAAGGCTGGCCTAAGGAAAACTTGATTTTTTTCCTTTTTTTTTTTTTTTTCCCCAATTTCTTTTATTTATTCTTTTCATCTTTGAGCCTTAAACATTTGGGCTTTGTTTGGGTTTTTGGGGCTGGGCCCTCCCTAGTCCCAGAAAGGGCCCCAAACCAAAGCCAAACAAACCTTGATCCCTGCAGGGGCCATTCCTGAAGGGCTGGACTGGATGATCCCTGTGGGTCCTTTCCAATCTGGAATATTCCATGGCTCTAAATGGATGGGAACTCAAAAGCTGAATTGTGAGGGAAAAATTGGATTTTTCAGGCAGTTTTCCTTGTGAAATAGCCCCAAAATCTGCAGCCCCTCACGCCTGCTCCTGCTGGGAAGGGGCTGTTGTTCCCAGGGAGGAACATTCCAGGGATTTCATGTCCAGGGAACAAGCTGCTCCTCCTCTCTGCTTCCCACAGGGATCCTTGGGATGATGGCACAGGACCATGACAGGGCCGGGTTCCACCTCCCTCCAAAATTCCAGATCATAGAATCCCAGGCTTGGGTGGGAAGGGACCTTAAACTTATCCCTGATGGGAGTTTTTAGGGGTGTGGGGGTGAAGGAAGGATTCATCCTTTAAGGATGCTGGTGGATTTATCCTGGAGGAGGGAAAGGAGGGACAGCAAACATTTGGGATGCAGAGGTTGTGCTTTGGCTCCAAAGTGATTTAGTTGGAATCTGGTTTAGATAATTTGCAGGAAAAGCTTTCCCTCAGATCCTGCCCAGCTCTCCTGGAGCAGGAGGGAATAATTCCCAGCCATCCATCACCTGGAATGAAGGAAAACATTTTGGACTGCCAGAGCCTTTGAAGGAAGCCACCCGGACGACCCCAAGTCCAGCCTGCTTAAGCTCAGCACAAACTGTCAGCGCAGGTTGAACGAGATTTATTTGGCAAATTCTCCAGCACTCACCAGAATCCAACACATCCAACGGCTCCCAAAACCTCCAGGAGACCTGGACACTCATCTGCCTTCCCCTTCCTGCTCCCACAGCCCTGGGAAGGAGGCCCAGAGGTCTCTCTGTGGTCAGAACACAGCAGCTGCAGTTGCTAAACTGAGCCCAAACCCTTGTTTTGTTAAACCCCTCCTAAACAAAGCATCCAGGCTGCAGTTTCTGCACCAGGAATTGGAAAATTCCCCTGCTCTCCGGTGGTTTTTCCCAGTGCTGGATGCCCATGTTGTTAAAGGCAGTTTTGGGGGTTTATTTTTAAAATTAATAAGATTTTGGTCAGGTTGGAGGGAGCTTGGAGCAGGCTGGGATGGTGGAAGTTGTCCCTGTTTCTGGCAGGGGGTGGGGCTGGACTGGATGAGCTCTAAGGTTCTTTCCAAGCCAAACCATTCCCTGGTTATTTGAGAGAGGAAGAGGATGGTTCCAACTTCCAACTGCTTCTCCCCTTTCAATGCTCCTCCATCACCAAATCCTTTCTATTTCAACATTCCATCAAATCCCTTGGATTTTTGTGGCAGGATGGGATTTCAGGACTGGGAATGGGATTTTTGTGTCCCACTCTAACCCCCACAGGAGCCTCCTTGTCCTCATCCCCATCCCACGGGATTGAGATGCTCCATGAGGTGGGAGAGCTCAGCTTTGGGACGACTCTGCCTCCAAAGAGTGCCCCTGGAGAGGGGCTGGAGCCAGGCCGAGGACACAAAGTGTTTCCAGATGTTCTCCAGGGTGGCAGAAGTGCCTGATGGAGACAGATGGGATTTGGCTTTTCCTTAAACTCGGTTTTTGTGAGGAGCAACCGGCAATTTGTGGGCAGGTGCCTGCCTGGGAAGGCAGAGCCAGCCCCGGCTCCTGCTCTGCCTCCCTCCCACCAGGGGTTTTATTTTGGGATGGAGGCTTTTCCAGGAATCTGGAAATGAGAGGCTGGGTTGCTCTGCCCCTCGGAGGGAAGCCGGGAGCTCTGTAGGGGAGCGTTCCCGGTGTGTGCTGAGCTCCGGGGAGGGCAGGCGCCTTCCCAGGGACCCACACGGGATCTGGATGCCCCCTGGGACCTCATTACCTTAAAACCCATCCCAAACCTATCCCAAACCCATCCCAGACCTCAGCTCTCGTTCCCAGCAGGATGAGAAAGGCTGCTGAGTCCTCAGGGCGGGGCAGATTTCAATAATCCCGGGAATCCCTGCCGGCCCCGGTTTTCCCAGACAAGGTGGATAATCCCCCCTGGCACGTGCCAGCCACCGCTGCTCCAGGTGTGCTCTGCCCACGTGCCCGCCCTCGGGGTGCCAAGCATTCCCAGGGATGAGCTGGGGCATCCCGAACCTCTCCCGGTGGGTGGGGAGGATCTCGGGATGGAGCTCCTGGAAAAGAGCGGGATGCTGCCACCAGCAGCACCTGGAGCTTGGTTTAACCTGGCTTGCACTGGCAGAAAGCTGAAGAGCAGCGTCCTGTCCTCTTGGTGGGAAGGGAAAACCACCTCCAAGTGCAAACCCAGCAGGGAAGGAGCTGGACAAGGCTGGATTTTCCCTAGGGACAGCCTGGGGGTGGGAGGTGCTCGGGTGGACTACAAGGACAGAACCAGCAGAGCAGCTCTGGGTGATTTGGACAAGGCCAAGGGATGGCCCAGCAGGAGCTCGGGGTCTGGGAATCACAGAAATGTGGGAATATTCTCAGGAAAACCAGGCAGCATCAGGGAATTGGTTCTCCACTGTCTCCCTGAGGCCCTGAGAGCTCCCAGCTCACTCCAGCCTTTCCCTGTCTGGTTTTTCCCAGCTTGACAGGATTGTTCAGAGGAGGAGACCTCCATGAGATGCTTTTCAATGCAACCATTTCCCAGCAAATTCCATCTTATTTGATCCAAGGTCTTTCCTGGGGATCAATGAGCCAGGTTCTCCGCCCAGTCATGACAAGGACACTTTTCCTATAAATAAATACCATGCAAGGAAAAGAAACAACCCCAAATCGGGTGCATTTTTGTGGAGATGGATCTCAACAAAAGGATTTTTTCATGAAGTCTCGGTTTCCAGGAAAGCCATCGGGCTCTGGAAGGATTCAGGAATAACCCATGCTCGTGTTTCCTGTGGGGGATCATCCCTGATCCCAGAACCTGCCACATCAAAACTCCTGGAATGGTGACTCTGCCATTCTGGTTTCTCCCTCAGGCAAAAATTCCTCCTCCCAGGAGATCAATTTTTCAGCCCAGTTCCAGTGGGGAAAGACATCAAAAGAGCCTCATTTCCCACAAGACAGCAATTTCTTTTCCCAATCCTATTTAGGAAAATCTCGAGTTCAAAAAGATAAAGCAAATATGGAATGCAGGTCCCCTCCCCCTTTATTTAAAGGTTTTCTTTGTGTGCACACACAGCTCAAGTTCCTTTTTCTTGTCTTTTTTAAAGCCTGTTGTCATTTCCTCTTCCAAAGGTTGTTGGAATGAGGAACAGGACCATGAAAAATGTCAAAATACCATTTTTGCCTTCCCCTTCTTCAGGAGAGAGGGAGAACCAGTTTGAAACTTCTGCTGGCCCCAGAGCCCTCCCTCCTCTCTAGGAAGGAGCTGCAAACCTTCCTCCCACATGAATGCCAAGCAGGAACAGCCCCTTGGAAGCTGTCCAGCTGGGGAGGAGATCCTGCTCCAGGAGCTTCACAGGGGCGGGGGTGGGTGGTGGGAGCAGGGATGGAGAGTGGAGGAGCAGGGATGGAGAGTGCAGGAGCAGGGATTGAGTGTGGGAACAGGGATGGGTGGTGGGAGCAGGGATGGAGGGTGGAGGAGCAGGGATGGAGAGTGCAGGAGCAGGGATTGAGTGTGGGAACAGGGATGGGTGGTGGGAGCAGGGATGGAGGGTGGAGGAGCAGGGATGGAGAGTGCAGGAGCAGGGATGGAGGGTGGGTGCCAGGGATGGATGATGGGTGCCTTGGGTGGATGGTGGATGTCAGGAATGGGTGGTGGGTGCCAGGAACGGGTGGCAGAGAACCAGGGGACAGGCACAGGCAGCAGACAGGGACATCAGGGACATCAGGTTCATCTCCCCTGCAGGCTGAGGCCATGTGCCAGAGCTGGGGCTGGGCATCACCCAGGGCTGGGCTTGGGGATTTGCTGCCCTGGGATCCTGCCCAGCAGGCACAGGAGGGGCAAAGCAGGGCACAGAGGCTCCGATAACTCTGTGTTCCTTCTTTCCTTCTCCTCTTGGAGCCCCCCCACCAAACCTCCCCTGTCCTGTGCCAGCTGGGCACGTGGGCACACGGCCACTCCGGGCTGTCCCTTTATTCTGTATTGCCCAGTGGGGGAGAGCAGCAGCAGCTCCAGCCCCAGGAGGGCCTGGACAGCTGGGATTGGAGACACCTCATGGGAGATCACCAAAATGGCCACAATTCCCTTTGCTGGGTGAAGCTGTGGCCTGACCACCACAGGAGCATTCCAACCTCATCTCCGTGATTCCCATTGTGCTCTCAAGAAAAAATGAAGGGACTTTTTGGCTGACAAGGCTCCAAGGAGTTGGAGAGCTGTATAAGTATTTTACACCACTGAGCACATCAAGCCTTCCCCGCTCCCCCCCCACCTCCCTCACAGAATATCTGCCCCTCCCACCCTCCCCAAAATCCCCCCAAAATCCCACCCGAGGCATCCCGGAGCCGTGACGATATCTCAGCTCAGAGCTGCGAGCACAGGGGGAGCCTTTCCCCTTCCCAAGCGCTGCCAGTCTCAGGCTAAGCTGCTTACAGGGCTCCTGCCAATCCAGCCGTGCTGCCAGGCTGCCACTTCCCAACCCCCACCCCCTCCCTGGCTCTGCTTCCCACCTTTCCCATGTCTTTATCCCAAGGATTTCTCTCTGAACCCCCTTGGCAGGTCCTGGTGTGTGCAGCAGGATCCCGTGGAGCTGCACAGGACAGAGAGAGAGCCCAGTCCAGTGTCCAAGCCCATCCAGCTGCAGGAATGCCAGCCCAGAGCAGCGTCCAGTGTGTCCCACCCCTCCCACCCAGCCCACATCCACAGCAGTGTCCGAGTCCACACATCCAGGGAGGGTTGGGAGCAACCGCAGAAGTCACAGAGAGGGAGGAAGGTTGGTGGTCAGCAGCTGCTACAAGGAAGAGCTGGGCAGGTTCAACGTGGAGCAAGGAGGAGGGAAAAACCCAAGAACCAACTGAAAAGGAGGCAAAGGGAGGACGCCGGGATTCGGGGATGGATCTCTACCTTCTAGGCCACAGCCAGCATGGGACGGGAAAGGGACAGTCAGTGGTTGGTTGGTGGAGGGTTGGTTTTGTGTCACTCACGATAGAAAACATATTCGGTGTAAGAGGTCCAGATCCTGTCGTCCGTCTGCTCGTGGGCGAAGGCACAGGTGCCCGTGGAGTTGCAGGCCACCATGTGGAAGCCGGCATCGGCCAGTTTGTCAAAGGCTTGCTCCAGGAAGGTGAATTTGAGGTAGTACCTGGACGTGTACCTCTCCGGGGGCCTGTCCGGGTCCCTGCTCTCATTCAAGGTGTCCCCAAAGACCTCCTTGGCCAGCGAAGTCTTGCCGCACACCATGATCCGGGCCACCCTGCGGAACTTGGCGTCCGTCTGGCTGTCCCTGCCCAGCGTGTAGGAGCCGCGGTAGCCGATGGTGATGAACCCCGCCCTGCGGCCCTCGGTGCCGGCGGCGCCGGGCGGCGCGGTGGCGGCCGAGCTCAGGCTGCGCGCGGTGTCCGCGCCGGGGGACGGCTCCTCGGGGTCGCTCTGGCAGGGATCGTCCCCCAGGGAGTTCTGCTCGCTGAGCTTGGGCACCAGCAGCTTCACCAGCTCCGGCAGCATGAAGTACTCGGCCTCGCGCTGCAGCCGGCCGCGCTCCGGGAAGTGCTCGGGCAGCACCAGCTGCCGGTCCCTCATGTAATCCAGGATGTAGCGGAACAGGAACCCGTCCCGGTCCACGAAGAAGCGGCCCTTGCTGTCGCGGGCCAGCGAGCGTGCGCTCTTCTGGGTGAACATCTCCCAGAGCAGCGAGCCGGGCACGCTGACCAGCGTGGGGTGCCGGGTGATGTACACCTGTCCCCCCACATTCAGCTCGATGATGTCAGGGAAGGGGTTGCTGTCCTCGCTGCCTTTGGCACAGCTCGTGGGGTCTGCCAGGGCCATGGTGAGCTCCCGCTGCTCCCTCCTGCAGCACAAACAGGTCAAAACCATGTTAGAACTGCCAGAAAACACAGACCACTGCCCTGCTCCCAGCTGACTGCAGGGCATCCCAAGGGGCCCCAAGCCATTGCCCCAGTCCCAGGTGATTGGAAACGATCCCAAGCCAGATCACACATGGAATCACAGAATTGTTTAGATTGGAAAAGCTCTCTAAGATCCCAGAGTCCAACCCAGCACTGCCAAGCCACCACTAAATGCCCGGTTTGGGTCAGCAGGCAGGGTAGGACCAGATCCTTGTCTCTCCAGGAGTCTGGAAATCATCTCTCTTCCCCAGTCCCTGGCTCCTGGAACAAGCAGCATTATCCAAAGCCACCTCCCCTACCGTGGCACACAGCCCATGGTCTGACCGTGCCATCTCCACCTGAGCTCTCCAGGCAGCAGAAGGCTTGGCCCCTCTGCCCAGGAAGGTGCAGGGACGTGGGGCTGCTGTCAACAACAGGAAAGGCAGGGCTGTCACACCCAGGGGACCCGCCAGCCCGGCATCCTGCGGGCAGGAGCAGCTGCTGAGGGAGGAGTTCCCGGTGCAGGGGCCCCGCCAAGCCGGGGCTGGAGGGGTTGTGGTGCCACGTAAAGAGCACCCTGGGGCTGGGGAAAAGCGGCACCAGCTCCCTGAAGGACAGAGGGACAGAGGGACAGAGCCTTTTGGCACTCCTGCTCTGTCCTTGCTCCTGGAAAGTGCTCAACACGGACTCACAGCCAAGCTGGGAGATGGCAGAACCTCTCCAAGGGGCTGGGAGCAAGACAAATCCTGGGCTGCTGCTACAGCAATTGCTCTGTGGCAGATGCCACGGATTTATACATTTTCCAAAGGCAAGCCGGTTCTTGGATGTCTCTTGACACTGCAAATCAGCAGCTTACATAAACCTGGCTCAGCAGCCAGAGCCTGGATCCGTGCCGTGGTCTGTACAGGCATTTGGGAGACCACGGAGGGAAGGGGTTCCCTGGGCTGACCCCCAGCTCTGCCCCCTCCCTGGGTGACCTCAGTGCTGCCCTAGGTCTGCTCAGAGATTGGGACCCCCCAGGACTGGTCCCACACCCAAGGAACAGCCCAAGGGCTCGCCCCATCCCCATGTCCTGGCGCAAAGACTCCCAGGAGCTGCTCCAAAGGATCCCAACACAAATTTCGGAGCAACTAAAGGACAAAGACAGAACTCTGTGGGCACTTTCGGGCACGGGGGCAGAGCTGAGCCAACGTTTCACTGCTCCTCCCGGCTTATAGGGAGACTCGCCTTTATAATAAGGAGTGACTTGGGCAACGAAGAGACGGAAGGATGGAAAGAGGATGAGCGCGGTCCCGGCTTCCCGGTCCCCTCCCGCAGCGGCTCTGGCTCCCTTTCCCTGGCGATACCATGCCCACGGCACAGCCCAGCGGGCAGGAGCCGCCCGTGCCCGGAGCTCGCAGCCCTTTGTCACGCTGGAGGGGCTGCCCATGGTGGGCTGGGGGCTCGGGGGGAACGGGCAGAGCGGCCCCGCTGTTTCCTTTGCCCGCCCCAGGCGCGGACCCGGCGGTGACAGTGGCGGGGACTTGAGCGGGGACAGCGGCGGGGACAGCCCGGCTCAGCCCCGCAGCCGCAGCCGTCCCGGCGCTCCCCGGCCGGGGGACCCCGACCCCGCCGCCCCCGTTACCTCGGCAGGGCGGCCCGGCCGCTCCGCTGCGCTGCGCTGCGCTCCCCGCCGTGCCGCTCCCGCCGTGCCGCTCCGGCCGCGCCGCTCCCGCCGCTCCTCTCCGCCCGCCCGGCCCTGGCCTCGCCGTTTTATGACCGGGAAGGCGGCGAGCGCCGTCCCCCGCTGTCCCCGGGACCGCCTTCCTCCCGCCTCCCTCCGCCTCCATCCGACCAGCCCCCACCGTTCCCGCATCCCCGCATCCCTGTTAGCACATCCCGTTCCCTGCATCCCCCCATCATCCCCCGTCCCCCCATCCTCCCCGCTCTGGTACCGGGCAGGACTGACTGGGGAATTCCAGGGGCACTCTCGCCATCGCCTGGGAATGCAGTGAAGCTTGTAAAAAAGGAGGGAAAGGGACTTCTAACGCGGCCAGATGGTGCCAGGACAAGGGGAACAGTTGGAACTAAAAGAATGGGGATTTAGGTGGGATACTGGAAAGAAATTCCTCCCTGTGAGGATGGGCAGGCCCTGGCACAGGGTGCCCGGAGCAGCTGTGGCTGCCTCTGGATCCCTGGAAGTGTCCAAGGCCAGGCTGGACAGGGCTTGGAGCATCCTGGAACGGTGGAAATTGTCCTTGCCCATGGCTGGGGGTCAGATGGTTTTGGGGTTCCTTCCAACCCAAACCATTCAATGATTCCACAATTCCAAACCCAGCCAGCAAAAACCTTACAGCAGCCAAACTCTTGCTACTCCTTGGATGATTTTATATTGTTGAGCTGCAGGGACTGAAATCCCCTTTCCCGAGGTAGGAATGACACCAGTGGGATCATAAGGAGCTTAGGCGGTTGTGGCAGCCTGTTTGTCCAGGCTGGAAAAACCAAACAAGGAAAGAAATCCAGCTCTTTTTAGTTTACTTGAAAATTCTGGTTTTATGTGAATCCAGGAAAATATGACAACTCCAAACAACATCCCAATATTCACACGTTTCCTGGAATCTTTTCCATCGAAAGTCCAATGAAGCTTAAATCCCAACATTCTTTGACAGCAGAGCTGGCCTGAGGTCACCCATGAATTTTTGTCCATCTTAAATTTCGTAAGAGCAGAAGATGTGATTTCTTCTTCTTCTACAAATCAAATCCTTGAGTCTGGGTACTCACATCCAAGGAATTTTCCTGTTTGGGTTTCTCCTTGTTTTTTTCTTGTATCCCAGGGCTGTTTGATTATTTTCCCATAAATTGCAGGAACTGTGTCCTGTGGATATTTTGTGGGACATATTTATAGATGGTGGAGACCAATTTGTTGGCTGGATAAATGAATGGATGGATGGATGATGGATGGATGGATGGATGGATGGATGATGGATGATGGAGATTTGCTCAAAAGGTGCTTGAAGCATCTTTGAAATTGGCTTGGGAGAAAATTTAGCCACCATGGGCCTGTTTGATTTTTGGGGTTGCAATACAATCCAGTATGGTTTTGTCCCACTTTTCTGGAGGTCTGATCCAATGTAACTACAAGTTCATAAAAAAATTCCCAGGGAATTTTCAGGTGTGTTGCCTCACAACTCCCTGTCTCAGGGAGATGCTGTGACCCCAGCCATGATCCAAGTTACTGATCCAGCCCAGTGCCTCCATCCTGGGCAGCTGTGCCACGACTTGGCAATGAAGAAATTATTCCTAAAATCCAATTTAAACTGATTTATTCTGGAGGCTGTGCTGGGACAGTTGGGATGGGAGCTCAGGACAGGCCCAGTGACAGGAGCAATGATGGTACTTCCTGTTCTTTTTTCCCTTTCCCTTTCCCTTTCCCTTTCCCTCTCCCTTTTCCCAGCTGCCTCTGTGCTTTTTCCTCACGTGCCTGATGCTCATGGGGGACAAAAATTGCACCCAAATTGGTGCAAATATTCCCATGAGCTGATGTGGAAATCATGGAAACTATCGAGGCCAATGCTGATGTGTCCAGAGGCAACTGGGAATGGGATCTCCAGGGAAGGGGAAGATGTTTGGCACCATGAAAGTGACCAGGGGCCTGGAAACTCAGGAGAAGTTGCCAGGAGGTTTTATAAAGCAGCTTTTACAAGTTCTTCCAAGAAAAGTGAAGCAGGAATTTGGATTCCTCTCTGGTTTCTGAAGACTTTTATCAACCATAAGAATGGCAGATGATTCATCCCCATCCCAAGAGAAGGCAGGGAAGGGTTTAATGAGAGTTTGTTTGTGTCCACTCTGGGACTCCACAGAGTGATTGTGAGGAAGCCCTGGATTCACTTCCTGGATGCTATTCCCATGTTCTCTGAGCTTGGACACAAATCCCTTCACCCCACAGTGCCTCATTCTCCTCATCCCCCTCCAGAGGGTCCTGCCCGCTCCCCAGCAGTGCTAAAACCCCCTTGTGCTGCCCCAAAACTCCTTGAAAGCTCCTTAAATTTGCATTTTTAAGGATTGAGGAGTGTTAACTGGAAGTGAGTGTTAACTGGAGTGTTAACTGGAAACTCAAATGTTTCCATTGCCTGATTTTTCCTCAGCTAAAAGCCCCAAAATACAATAAATTGACTGTGAGCCATGCTGGGATGAGGATCCTGTGATCCACCACATTGTAAGGATGCTGCCCCAGAGCCCTGATGCTGCTCCATCCATTCCTTGTCCAGAGATAACACAGGGAATTACCTGTGGAGGCAGGAATATTTACCAGAGGAAAAATCCCCTAATTCATGGGTGTCAGAAGGGTCCACACAGAGGTTCAGATTCCTCGGTGCCACAGCCGTGATTCACGAGCCAGGACTGGAGGCAGGAATCTTTCATCCTTAAACAAAGTGGAGCTAAAAAGTCCTAAAAAGGCAACAGAATCCCTGAGTGCCAGACTCCTGTGGGGCACGGAATTATTCTTAGGACATTTGGGGCACTGCATTAGTTTTATAGGTTTGGGACACTGAATTATTTTCAAGACATTTGGGGCACTGAATTATTTGTAATCCCTTCAGGGTCTTCTGGCTGTACGTCCATCAGTGGGAAAATCCCCCTTTGCAGCCCTGGTGCTCCTGGTGCTCCCAGCTCTGTCTCCCTCTTCCCCACCCTCATTTCCCCTTCATTCTCCCCCCGTGCAGGGTTTTCCTCTCTGCGGTTAATTAAAACCCCACCCTGGGTTTGGGGTGAGAAAAGCTCCGTCCTGAAGGGGCTCTCACCCTTGAATCACTGGCCCCGTGCAGGCTCCCAGATTCCCAAAACCCACAGGAAACTCCCCCCAGCATCCTCAGACCCCATCTTTTTCTCTTTCCTTCCACCTGGCTCCTCCCGGAGCCGCCAGCTCTGCCGGCAGCGCGGAGCTCGGGGCGCCTGAGGCTGAGGAGAAGCGACAGCAGCGACGTCCCCGCTGTGGCTGTGCCCGAGCCACCCCTGCGCCTCCACCGAGCTCCTGGAAGCTCCAGCCGCTGCCTGCTTCTATAAAAAGGGGTTAATCTGCTTCTGCCCGGAGCTCAGGTGGCTTTGCAGCCCTGGGGAGCAGCGGCCACAGCCGTCTGACCGCGGCAGGTCGGAGCTCCCTCAATAATTCACGGACCCGTCTGATCCGCGCCGCTTTTAGCAGCGGCTGCCGCGCCGCGGTTGTCGCGGCCCTTTGGTGACAGATCGGGTTGGACAAGGCAGGAAAAAGGCTCTGCTTAGCGGTGCGCTTTAATTGGCTCCTCATTAGGGGAGCTCGGCCGGCAGCGCTGCCCGGCAGAGCGCAGGGAGGCGAGGGCAGGGCTGGAAGCTCCTCCCGAGGGAGCCCGGGCTCGGGGGCATCACCACGGGAGGGTTTTCTGCCATGCTCTGATGGGACCAGAATTGTCACCACGAAGATGATGGAAATGCTGTGTGTCAGGGACCTGCTTCCATCCTGGATTTACCAAGAGAAATAAAGGAGAGTCCATCCATCCCACCTCATCCCTGGATGGACACTTTGGAACTGCTCATCCCTGAAGCAGAGATGTCTCACCCAGAACTTTCCATGTGGCCTCTTCCAAGCTGGGCAATTAAAATCCTGATTAAGAAGCACTGACACCTCTGGATTTCAGGCCAGAGCTGTGAGCTGGAGCAGGGTTGGGAATATTTCAGCCTCAGAGGGAAAGGGTTGAGGAATGGCCAGAGCAGGAACACCTCCTGAAAAGCAGTGCAGAGTCAGAGGGATGTGGGACACCAAGGCCTCCCATTTTCTCTGCCTTGCACTATCTGCCAGCATTCTGGAGGATTTTATTCCTCCAAGGGAATTCTCCTCCCAGGAGAAGAATTCTGAATTCTGCTCCCAGAACAGGAGAGCTCAGTGAGTCCAGCCTTTCCCTGTCCCATGGCCTTTGCCCTCTCACTCCCCTGTGGGTGCTTGGGTCCTCTTCAGGATCCAGGAAAAGCTCCAGCCAACCAAAATGAACGGGTTAAAAAAAAAACTTGTGCAAAGCCCACGGGATTTCTGGGATGTGGGTCATCCCCACAGAGAGCTGGGAACTACCTGGGCTACCAAACTCCCCCCGGACACTCGGATTTCCATGCACAGAGGATTTATTTCAGTGCTGTTCAGTAAGACCCAGCTGAGAGGGATATGAAGAAGGGAGGAGGTGGCAGGTGGGTGACAAGGAGGGACCTGTAGGGGTCTGGTGCAGCCAGTCTGTTCCTCAGGCTCTGCCAAGGTACTGCCCTGGCATGAAGGTGCCAGCTGGCTGCCAGAGCCAGCCTGGGAATGCTGCTGGGACAGGGAACAGGGGGATCTGTCTGGGCAGCAAGGAATCCCCCAGAGCAAACTCAGCTGTGCCCTCCCCTCTCTCCTGCAGATGGGAGGGATTCAGCCTCACAGATCTCCAGGTTTCTGGCTTAGAGCAGTTCCAGGAGAGTGCTGAGACCCTTCTCTTCTTCACTCATTTCTTCCCAGGAAGGGCTGCCCAGCACCGGAAAAGTCTTTCCAGGGCAGTGGTGGAGTCACAACCCTGGAGGGATTTAAAGGCCCTGTGGATGTGGCACTTGGGGACGTGGGTCAGAGCTGGAGGAATGGTTGGATTTGATGGTCCCAGAGGGCTTTTCCAGGCTCAGGGGTTCTGTCATCTCCAGCCCAAATGAGTCC